GATATAAAAAATCTTTTGAGTGAACATGCATTTGCAGAATATAGAATGTGCATTTAGCACTAATGATTTCATATAGCTAAAACAACATATGGGCAGATTTGACTCTATTCAGCATTATCACAAAATTCGTTTTTGTCACATCCGATAATCAAAACATACAATTAACCAATCAAATCGATCAAAAAATTTAAATGTGATATTCTAAAAAATTTAATAACAAACTTATTATCAATAATTAACATCTATATGCTTACAATGGCAAGCAAATGTCAACTTTGTCAGATTTTTTTTCCTCAAAAAAAGCTTGCTACTCATGAAAGAATTAAACATCGAAATAACAAAATTATACCTCACCGCTATTTACTTATTCAACCTCCTATTGAGCAAATCACATTTTATCAAGATGTATTTATAGTTCTTATTAAAAAGCGTCTTGGTTTTAATAGGTATTCTGTTGGTCCAAAGCAAGTTTCTATTAACGCTTTTCCAGAAAACATTTATCTTTTTGAACAGGAGCCTTCTTTCTGATATAGTCCTGTGCAATGGAGGTATTCTTGTCTATTTCGGGGTGAGGCTGGTGAACAAAGACTAAAACAGTTAGTAAATTATGACTACTGGTATATTTGACAAGATCTGAAATTAAAAACTATCAGCTATATTTTATTTATAGATCATGAGAGTTTCTATGAAGTTAATTTTAGTTGGTCACAATCTGAATTAAAAGAGAATGGTCGTATTTTTCAATGTAGCACTGTCACTTGTAAATTTGTAGCAGATTCAAGAGAATTCTCTGAATGGTATGAATTAGAATATGGTGTTTAAAAAAAAAATCTTATATTACAATTATTTTTTTTATTATTATTTTTATAAGATCCTCCGTACTCCAGACAAATCACATTACTTCACAGTCATCAAATCATATTACTTCACAAGAACCAAATCAAACTACTTCGCAAGCATCAAATTATACTACTCCACAAGAACCAAAACAAACTACTTCGCAAGCGTCAAATCTACATAATATTGATTCACACAAGAATTCCCAAAATAATATGAAATCAGCTCAAAGAAACTATAGGTTTATACTACCCTGTGTACCTTTTCAGCAACTCAATAGATAAATAGTATATACGGGTAAATATATATAATTTGTACTTTTACCGTTCTTTGAACATTATTAGCTAATAATTATAAATTATCTAATACAAATAGACAGGGTTTATAGTATGCTAATGATAAAAATTTAGTATACGAGAATATCTAAAAGCATACTTATAATTACAATAGATAAATAAATATGTATTGCTAAAGAAACAGTACTCAGTCTTTTATTATTGCACAATAATATTATTTATAGAGACCATATATTTTACTAAATTAATTTACTAATTTTCTAATATCGTAATTTAGCATTTGAAAAATACAGTATTAATTCATCAAGGACACCAAAGATAGCGGATTTTGGACTATCGAAACAAATCGATATTTATGACATCAAACTCAATTGATCATCGAATGCTAGCATATATTGAACCTCTATGTTTTATTAAACAAGGATTCTATGATAAAAGATTATATGCACTTTATATAGCATTAGAATAAAATTAATTTTCAATATTTCAAAACTTATTACTAACAAAGTTTGAAGCGACACTATTTGTTAATTTAAAGTCAATAAAAATGTAAATGTTTAAATAGAAATAAAAAAAGGCGTAAATAAATAATATATATTAAATAAGTATCGATTATATTTATTCAGTGCTATTAATCTCATAGCTACAAGTTGGCTTATTACATAAATTTCAAAATGAATCTTTAGTAAAACTATCTTTAGTTTCACAGAAAAGTAATTGATGTAATATTCGCATATTGTGATCTAATTTAAAATAAGTTAAATAAATATTCAGTATGATTATAAATGATACAAAATAATATTACACAGCTTAAAATAAAATTGTAAGTAATACTATTTTTCAATGAAAAAATTAATTATTATTGCAATTTTTAAATCAGTTAACTGATTTATCTCAACAATAGATGATATTTGCTCTGAATTTGTCAGTACCATTAACCTTCATGACTATGACAAAATATGTTTACTTATCACATGATTTCCAAAATGAATTTTGGTCCAAATTTCTAGTTTCATAAAAAAGTAATTTATAATAAATTAAATAAAGGAGAATTTACATATAAGGGTACTAACCTTTATAACTACAACAGGATATGTTTGCTTATAGCATAAATTCCAAAATAAATTGTTGGTAAAACCATCTCTAGTATCTCTAGTTTTATGAAAAAATAATAAGTTAATAAATGTTTAATAAAAATGATATATAAAATAATATTATAACTTAAAATAAATTTTGAATAACACCATTTTTCAATAAAAAAATAACGCTATCATTGCAATTTCTAAACTAATTAACTGATTTATCCCAACTAATAGATTGTATCTACCCAGAATTTTGTCAGTGCTATTAACCTTCATAACTATGAGTTATAGCATAAATTTTAAAATGAATCTTCAATAAAACTATCTCTAGTTTTACGAAAACGTAATTTATTTCTTTTTTATCAATCTATGAAGCAATATTAGCTGCATTTGCTTCATTAATAACTGCTGAAAATGATTTGTAATTCTAGTTAGTAATCTTCATATTAAAATTATATACCTAATGTGATAAATTTTCCTTATTATCAGCATTAATATTTCAGATAGCGATTTCTCTAGAAATATTATTAATTAAGTAAAAAAGCTGCCAATTTTCAAACGATATCATATTATAGATGACAGATTTTTTTCCATTTTCACCTCCCATAGTAGTACCTCCAAAAAATAATCGAACCTGATAATAAGTTTATTAAAAAATAGTAATGCATGTAAGAATAATTTTAGTTAGCACCTATATTACCTGTTGATGATTTTTTTTTCTATGCTTGAAGTAGAAAAAGTTCGTAAAGAAAGACCTTCCGCTTTTAATTGTTGCATGAATAGAGGGATATGTTTTGCAAATATATGTATATATGGTATAACGTCAGCCTTCCTATAAAGTCCAAAATCTTGTGAAGAATTTACATGACCCTGAGTTGGATGACAAAAGGCTTGAATCCAATTTTCCGCATCGACTTTGTATTGATAAATTTCT